GAACAAAAGTAAGAGAAATTTAGGCTAAGAATACGAACATGTTCTTGCATGAGGCCCACTGACTCTTTTGTAGAAGCCATAACAATTCGACTGGATGGGACATGTAACACATCAAGTTGGTTGAAACGTCCAGAAAGAACCTATAGAAAGATCCCTAATATTTAATATTCATATTAGTCATAACTCGAGACTGAAACTGTCCCTGCACACCTGTAGATGCCACTACAAACGTCTTTATCCCCCTCTTTCATTGTGTTGTGTGAGAACTATGGATTTTTTATGAACTAACAGATTCCTGAAGGTCAGCATACAGGTCTGACATGAACGCATGTGTTTCGACTTCTTTCCACCACTCCATCTGGGTGTTTAAGGTTTTTATTTTTTGACACTGAGGTGCATCTTTTTTAACTGAACAGTTAACAAATCTCTCCAACAATAAATACTAAAGTAGCATTTTAAGTAGCTTAAGAAGAACAAGCACAGGTTCAACTCATTTTATATAAAAGGACAACACATTAAAACCCATTTATTAGAGTTTTAAGAGTACAGCAGGACAGACAAAGGATTAAATATCCTTCTAAATCTAGAAAACGGGGGCWGCTGGAATCAGGGTCAACAGGTTTTCATTTAACCTCCAATCTGTGGGGAAAAAAGGTTTAAAGTAGAGGCAAATAAACCCTCATTGTTTTTTTAATATATATATATATATATATTTTATACAAAAATGCCTGCGGACCACAGATCCAGGTTGCCCCATCACATTACAGCTAAAAAAATAAAATCATAATAATAAAAAATAGAAGTAAACAATGAAAAAGAAAAGAAACAAGAAAAAGACGATAAAAACAAAGAGTGGAGCTCACTGAGACATTCACTTCCACAAGATTGAACCACGGTGAGACTGAGTTCACGGACAGAAACACTACAGAACCTCGGGATGCTAACGACTTGTTCAGTCTGCTTACAGCATGCAGCAATTAGGGGATGGAAGTCACCCTTCCACCTCTCGTTAACACTTTAAAGGTTATGTGATTGAGGGGGAATAAAAACAGACATGACCCTTTGCTGAGACGAGAGTGGAAGGGGCGCAGTTTGTTTATTTATTTTTTTAAGAGGAGGAGAGAGGAGAGAAGGGCATGATGGGTAGTGTAGTTGTGTTGCTGCATGACACAGGTCAGACACAGGTTATTAGCAGCTCACGGGAGGGAAACACGACACAGCAGAGCCACAGAGGACTGACATGAAGAGAGAAGGAAGCAAAGAAGAGTCGGGACACTACAGTGGACTGTCCTCTGTGAGGGTGGAAGAGGAAGTACCGGACAAATTTCAACGTAAATAGCAGCTGCCATACTACTATTTAGCTAGCAGTTGAGGTTGTTCTTGCGTCGGAARGGAGGTGAAGAAACAGATTTTTTTGATTTGAGGGAGAATCTAATTCAGACTTCTCCCGTGGAGCGTTGAGATTCCTGCTCCCGAGTGAATTTATAGATCAAGATAACGGCAACAACAACACACAACTGCTCCAGCTGTTTCAAAGGGGAGAAAACACGAGAAGATTTCATAGCAAGACTTCATTGTTTTGTGTGAGGGCAGTGCAAGGAGACACATCGTCTGAATAAATTTATTGTTTTTAACCTTTTTAAACAGCCCACATGAAGTAGTGCTTCTAGGTGCAACATTTCTGCTGCTATCTGTCAGAACTTTTTACAACTTAAAGATATAATTCTAGCATATTTTGATTATTTCTGCGGAGATTAACAAAGTGGCTAGTCTGAGCACAAACCCAGAACAAAGTGACTTTCTACCATCGAAAACGACTCAAATCTTAAAATGTCAGAGGGCTTCATGTAACTTTAGTCCTCGTTGAAAGGGTCTTGTCCCACTCCAACTAGTCTTTATCTCATCAGACTGGTGAGAATTAAACTTCATTTCTCCAAACCAATAATTCTAGGAGTGTTCTAGAACAGGTTCATGACTTTTTTATAGGAGTCCAACGAATCACTTTAAAGGGATCTATGAACACTTTCAGATTTTGGCACATTGGCATGTCGATATTYCTCTGATACACTAAAAACTGTAGTTTTATTACACTTCCACTCAAGCACGTTGTCATTTTTTTATTGTTGCAAWGCATTCTGGGGATGATGACGATGATAGGTGTCATTTGACTCAAACAGAGTCAAGGCTAAAAATATTGTAACTTGTGCCAATAAAGTTATATTTTGTATTACTTTCTATGTTCTGCTCAATATATGGGTTAAAACAATCAAATGTTATGCTTAGGAAATTAGCTCAAATTCTAACACTGTAAATATTTTAGCTCAGGAGCTAATGGTGTATTAGCTATATACTGTATATATAT